AGACCAGCTGCTGGTGGGGTGATGTCTTGATATTGGCGGTTCGGGTATCTGTCAGCCAACAGCTATGGATCATCTGTATGTTTCGGCAGAGCGATGTGAGTTCTCCTCACTGTATTTACAGGTCGAATGAACCAATTTCGGCCTACTGATTTAATATCCTGCTATTCACTGATATGTTGAGTATGGAATAGATCTGCATGATTATGCTAGTTGCCTATATGTTAGTATAGTAGATATATAGGACAACCTATGATTCTGTATACATGATTATTTGCATATGTTTGTTATCTGTCGGCATATTGTCTTGGGTTTATGATGTACTGCTTCGTGTTGTAGCCAACAAACCCTAGAGCATTCCAGATATGAGCTAAGGGTCATGTAGGTCATACTAGACTCATAATGAGGGCTAACTAGCATTACAGATACGAGCTGAGTACCCGGTGGTATGCTAGAATCGTACTGAGGGATTGAGGGTATCATAGCAAATCCATATAAGAGTTGAGGGTTGGGTTGGTATGTTAAACTCATTCTGAGGGCTTAGTAGCATTCTTGATATGAGTTGAGGACCAGTTCGTATACCAGACTCGTACTGAGGGCCAAACATTGGTATACCAGTTTGATGACTGATTGAGTTGGGAGCAAGCTAGACATAAGCTGTCGGCCCAGGGGGCAAGCCAGACTTATGTTGTGGGCTCAAGAGAAAGCCAGACATAAGTTGTGGTCCCTTTAGGCAATTCATACTCATAGTGTGGGCTCAGGGGTGATCTAGCCTTTTAGTTGTGGACCCAGTGCATATTGTTATTGTATATATGCTATTTGTTTGTGTATTGGTACTCTGGGGGAACTCGTTAAGCTTTGTGCTTATAGTTTTGTTTATGGTTTCAGGTTCTTCAGATGATTCATGGCAAGGCGAAGGCGTGATCGTACACATCCTTGGTTTTACAGTGGATTGGATCTTGGAGACTCTGGTTTTCAATCATGTTTTTGGGAGAAAATGTTTTGTAAACACTTTTGTTAATACATGGGTTGTTTTGAAAAGTTTTAATTTGTTGAAATTTTTGGGATGTTACATAACTCATAAGTTTCAAATTATGAGATTCACATCCTTGAATCATGGCAAAATTTTGTTTCCGTCTTTATTTCTACCTCTTCTCGCCTCTCAATCTAGCACACAAGAACCAAAGTTGGCGATGTTGTGCTTTGAAGAGTTATACATTATCTTGCAGAGCAAGAGTTGATTGAAGATTGTTGTAACAGAAGTAAAATATAGGTTTTGATTGAGTAAAAATCATTTTCGAACAAATTTCATGAGTTTACTCTCGAGTTATTGACGTTGATTGATATATTTCCTAACATGCGATATCTAAGCAAGGATGTTGAAGAATTAGTCGGTTTGAAGAGTTGCACATTATCTTGCAGAGCATCAGAAGCAATGTATTGGAAAAATTAGATAGAATCAATAGCAAAATTGTTCCTTAAAAGACAAAACTCAAGAATATCTTCATCACAGTCTGCCACTAACAGTCTCTCCATCGACCACTGATTTAGGTTTTCAATTTCAAGCTCGTTGATCTTTATTTTAACCCAAACTAGTTATTTAGGTTTGCATTTTTTTCTTACGAGGAACTCCTTTTCTTCGCGATTCTCAAAACCAAAAGGTTCAACCACCACTACATCCATCACTCTCGACGGATCATAGAAATCGTCACCTACTTCATCTGGAACCATGCCAAGAGTTTACGGTGATCGGGGACTGTGGTAGTTTATGAAGGACAATGTAACGCCCGTAGATTCGGGCTAGTCAATTTAGAGACGATAGGCATCAAAAATGAATTTTTGATGAAAGATTATTTAGAATGAATAATCTTAACTAAGTTATAGTATGTGTTACAAGGTTTCCGTACATATAAAGAACGCCGAAATCCGAGTTATAACGAAGAAGTTATGACCTGTCGAAGTTTCGCGACAAAACCGGCACGACACAGCGCGACGTAAAAAGTGAATTTACGTTAGAGCGATATTTAGCCTTAGCAATCTAAATGAAAGTCGTAGAATACGTTAAACCATGAGCGTGCATAAAAAGAACGCCCAAATCTGACTTCGTATGAGAAAGTTATGATTTTTCGAAATTTCGACTTAGCAGTATGCAGCCCGAATGCTCGATTTGAGACCGAGCGGTTTTTAGCCAAAGCAATCTAAATGAGAATTGAAGATCTCATTAATTTTAGTAAAACGATAAAAAGATAGGCGAAAACGGACGTTGGATGAAGAAGTTGTGATTTTATAACGAAGTTTTCCTGTCCCGGCCTACTAAAAATAAATAATAAAAATAAAGTCAAAATTAGCCGACGGAGTCTAAACGAAAGTTGTAGATCGTAGTCTCACCTACGCGTGGATATAAAGAACGTCGAAAACGGAGTTTGTATGAGAAAGATATGAATTTTTGAAGTTTATTTAATAATTTCGATATTTAATTTAAATAAAAATTGGCCGATATTATCCATGGGGGGAGTCAGCGACCTTATCATCGTTACGCCCTGCATAATGAAATTTACGCCCCGCGTAAATCAGGCTTCAGCCCTCTATAAAAGGAAGTCGAGTGCAGCCGATTCAGTTGCTCATTTCTTCCCGTTTTCTCGCGTTTTTGCATCGTTTTTCGTGCAAGAAATATCCCGAAGCCCTGATATCATTCCCGAGCCCCGAAGCAAGTCCCGAGGCCCCGAAGATCTCGAGAAGTGCAATTCCCGAGCCGAAGCTCTGCCTACGAGGAGTCCGGTTTTTGTGAAGATCTTCCAGATCTACCGAAGAATACTACTTCTACAAGCCGTAGTGCTGTCCGATCATCTTCTGATCAAGTGAGTGTGTAGTTACTTTCTTCTAACGCATAATTATGAAGTATTTTATATGAAATATGTGTTATGTGTATATATATATATATATTGTGGTTTATATGTGTGAGTGTGCGGTTACTCTCTTCTAAACACATAAATATAAAGCATTAGCTATGAAATACGTGCTATGTGTTATATATTAGTTGTCTATATGAGATGGGCTTGGAATTGATGTTTTGATATGGGTGTTAAATGATTTAAACTATATATGTAATTTATATCTACAAATATGTTGGGTAGAACATGGGTAGATGAAATAGTTGATGTGTGTTGAACGAATGTGATAAGAGAAAGGTGAGGATATAATGGTGATGATAATTAGGTGATGAGAAACAGGTGATGATGATTAGGTGATGAGAAATAGGTGATGATAGAAAGGTGATGATAATTAGGTAATGATAAATAGGTGATGTGAGATGAAAGGAGATACCATAACCTTGACCGGCGAGGTGCCAATTCGGCGATGTAGTCATCTACCAGAGTATAGATGGCGACCACGGACTATTCTAGATGACCCCGTGGAAACACTAGCAGACTCATAACCTGTAGGTGATGAATTACGAGTCCAGGCGATGTTGTGGCTACGTATTCATGCGATGATATTCTAACCCTTACTATAAATTACGAGTCCAGGCGATGTTGTGGCTATGTATTCATGCGATGATAGTCTAACCCTTATTATGACTTACTAGTCCAGGCGATGTTGTGACTACGTATTCATGCGATGATCCTTAGGAAAAAGTCCTTAGGAACAAACATACAAGGAAATGTGATGTAAGGAGATGAGAGGTAAATATGATGTAGGAGATGACCCTTAGGATAATTCCTTAGGGAATGTACTTAAGAAATAAATGGAGATAACGGGGATGGGTAATTGGGTTGATTGTTTGATGATTGAATATAATAATTATATTATTGTGGGTTGAAAACCCTATATGCTCACCAGGCTCCCAAGCCCAACCCACTCAGTTTAATTGTATCACAGGTATCGATACGAAGATGCTTTGCACTGAGAGATTAAAGGAGATGTAAATCATTAGTGTAATTGAATGTAAGTTCTATTTATGCTTATATGTCTGTATCGGAACATGACATCCCGAGGTTTTATTATTAAATGAAAATACATTCTCTTTGAAAAATGTTTTGATAAGTTATTATCATATCTTGTTTTGGGAACAAATTCCGCAACCGTTTTCTTTAAAAGATTACTCTGATTTTATAAAACAAAGCATAAACAAATCAGTTTTTTCTGGCCGTGAAAATGGGGATGTCACAGACAAGGAACAGGATGGAGGGAAGAATGAGGACAATGTTGTTGTAGATTTGTGTAAGATCCAATTTGTGGGTATTTAAACAATGAAGGGAAGATGACTTATTACATACCTGGGTCAAGGGAAGTGGGGTCACAAGAAGTGCTTATGTGACATAGGGTAACCAGTTTACCCCTTCAATTCTTCCAAAAAGGCCTAATAGACCCGAAAAAATGACTTTATGCCCTCATAAAGCCACGAAAATAGTTTAGGGATTAAATGGACCAACCCTAAAAAGTTCGTAGGGCATTTATCTCATTTTCCCATTATCAAACTCAAGGGAACCTGTCGCATTCTCTTCGTGTTTGTCTCGTGGAACTTAGGAAAATCCCCAAGCTCTCACATTTATGTCCATAATCATGTACATCGTTCACTTAGTTACCCTCGTTTCATGAACAACAAAGCGCAACAAAAAGGTTTCAATGGTCATATAACTGTTAAGTAAGATTTCAGATTGTGTATCCACAAAAACATAACAGAAACATGGTTGTTCCAATAGATAAGGAAGTGTTGGTTTGGGCAACAAGGATTTGGGATTGTGGGTCACAAACGATGCAATAATTTGACCATATCAAGAATACAACTATCCTCTTAGAATGTAAAGAAAAAGAATAAGTAGCGTGACTATTACAACATGCATGTAATTTGGGAAGAAGAAGAGAGCACAATATGACATAAGGATGACTAGGTCACGCTCCTTTGTAATCTGATTAGGCCACACAGCTTACCTAGACCCGGATTCCAGTCACATACATTTCTCATGGTTTAAACCCTAATTACATGTGTTCCGACGCTTCACATGTTTCTCCCTCCCTCAATCTCACTCTCTCCGGTTCAAGTTTCATACGATAAGTGCATGTGTAGGTTTCTAGGGTAAGGTAATTTGACATACCAATCATGAGGAAGAAGGAATGAAAGAACACAGGAAACAAAAAAGTGTAGTCGTTTTTAATTACCGGAGGAAACAAAAGAGCATGATGAAGTGTCAAAATTGAATATTTTAAAAATTAATGTTCTTTGTATAATTTTTTTTCGAGTTTGAGACGTTAATACTAACCAGATAATGCTGTATAGTCAACGTCCCATGCAAAATCAACTGCAAAATAGTTAACATTTTAACAAAGTAGAAATTAGAAAACATAATGTTAACAATAAATCTAACTATATTTTGCATAGTTGTCCATCGAAAAAAAAACTAAAACAGCCTAAAACAATAGGTCCAATCAGATAAATACACGTCGTCTTTCCCAGAAAGTGCTAGACGAAAACGCAAACTTCGCTTTGCTAAAAAAGCGATCTACCTCCCCCTTTCTCTCTCTCTCATAACTTCTTAGCCCTGATCTTTCGGTTGACGGCTGCTGTTTTAAACCCCCATTTTCACGGTAATCATCGTTGTTCATCTTCTCCATTAACATCGTTATTCTCTGGCAAATCCGATCAGATCTAAACTTTATTCATCGATCTGTTAATTAGGGTTTTCACGCATATTTCAATCTATTTTTGAAAATGGTGCTTCTGCAGGTTGCTTTGAAGTGTTCGTGTATCATATCCGTGTATAATAATGTGAGTAATCCCTCTCTTGAACTTATCCGTAAGAACTAATTTAATTGTTGTGTATGAAAGTTTGTTTTGTAAGTATTAATGTATTGCTGCCCTACGATGCCATCATCCGGCTGAATTTGCATCGTTAACTCGTATTTTTTAGATCAATTAGGAGTTAATCCCTGATTCGAAAGCAGAAATTCAAATCCATGATGTTATCTGAGAATGCTTTCTCGAAGGCTGATTGCAACTAAAGAGAAATAACCTTGATGTTGTCTTCCAAGTCATCTTTTTATCTCAACATTCTAAAATATGAGCTAGACCACCTCTGATTAAGTGGCTGTAACAGTTATATATCTTCAGTGGGATGTAACTGTGGATCATCTGAATCCTTTTTCTGATGTTTGCCTCCATTAATAAGCTCGATATGCTGGAATCAGTTTAATTACAAACTACACAGCATATCATGCTGCCATGTATTCGATTTTAGAAATGCTGTTTCTTCTCTCGAATCTTTCTTGATCTTCTGCATCCCAAATTACAACTATCTTGATAATTCAGCGGCTGCTCATCCTGACAACACAGTTACTTTTACTACTTATCTCCCATTATTTGTATCCTGATTTGCAGACTTTGTCCTGTTTGAATGAATTGTTTGATAGTTAAGAGGTTTTCAATGGTTTTATATGTATCTTTATTTCTCCATTTAAGGTCGGATGAAGAACCAGTTGACCAGAAGAAATACTTTGAAGATTTATGCAAGCCCAAGTGTGTTAGAGCTTGGCTCGACTATCAGGTTTTCCATTATACCAGAAATTGAAAATTTTCTATTTTACTTTTGCATACATCTTATATCACATGTGTATTTCTCTTTGCTTCTTTCCTTTTGTTGCAAATATATGGAGGAAACTACCTTTGATTATGGTAAATCTATGTCATCACATAAACATTGGGCATTTTTTAAAAACAATAATTTATTTCTAATTTTTTCAGGGATGTGTGAAAAGGGTTCAAGCAGATGAAACTGGCCACAAACATTGCACTGGGCAATACTTTGATTACTGGCAGTGTGTGGACAAATGTGTAAGTATATTATTATTTTATTTAAATAATAAATTTGATCAGTGTTTATCTTTATTTAATATTGAGGCTGATTTGAATGCAGGTTGCACCCAGGCTATTTGCAAAACTCAAGTAATGGAGATACATATTGAGTTCACATTTATGGGTGTTTATTTGTTTGCAAGAAAACTCATTTTTGGGTGAAACTGGTACCTTGAGTTGAAACATGAATAAGGAGTGTCTTAATTGCCATGAATTTAGCTTCTTGATGTTTATTTGTTGAAACCTTGAAAATTGAAAATAGACCTTTGCAACAAGCAAGATCTTGCTTTTACATCATTTTGTGTTTGTGGGTTTCGTTTGTCTCACTTAAATACAACATGTAATGACACTATCTATAACATCTTCAAACGCAACTTGACCCTTTCCATTTGGTTTCTTTTCCTCCTAGAATTTGTTATCTTATCTTTATAAAGGTCATTCTTATCAAAAATGACATTACTCCTTCTAATGACACTCTACTATGTTCATCGTGTAAATAATATCTTATGAATTATAACCAATTAATACACTTTTTTTTTTTTTTTTTTTTTTTTATGCTTTTACTACGAGCTTATCTCTCTCAACATCGTTAATCTTCAACAAAGAAACATAGCCGAGTGCTCCTAAGTGTGAAATAGTTACCTCCTAACCTAGCTTTTTCCTTGTCTGAAATCATGAAACTGATTTAAACACTTGATCTTAAAGTTCGTCTCATTCTCTACAACTTTCCACTTTTTAAAGGGTATTATTGACATATTTATTATTTTTAGAGAATAAAACCATACGTTTCTTGTGGAATCTCAAATGAAAATCCTGTAATAGCGAACATCCTATTGAAGAAACTAATATAGGTCATACAGATCAATATGGGCAACTCTGTTTTCTAGCTTTAGACGCATTTCCATCTTTGCAAATGTAACATTTTTTGTTTAACAAGAGCGCATGGATGACAAAAACCTATCACCATCCTTAGATCCAGAATTATGTATATTAAAGCTACTATCTTTATACGTTTCTCACTTATATTGTAACATCCCTCAAAGGCCCCTACCACAATATTGTCCGCTTTGAGCCACGAAAACTTCACAGCAGGATCACCCATCCTGAAATTGCTCTTTCCTCAGACACGCTTAAATGTAGAGTACTTATGGGATTCACCATCCTCACGGCTTTAACAACACATTGTGATAAGGTAAGATAGAGTTCGATTCTCCTTCCCAGACGACGTTGGATCGCAGATCTCTCCCCCATTCACCCCTTATTGCAATGTTAGAGGTCCCCGTTGAGCACATCAACATGCAATCTCTGATACCATTCGTAACATCCACAAATGCATGTATTATAATATTGTTCGTTTTGGGCCATCTAACATAAAAACTTCCTAACGGGCCATCTATCTTGAATTTGTTCTCGTCCGGGCATGCTTAACTGCAAAGTTTTATGGGATCTATTGACTTCACGGCTTTAAAACGTATTATGATTGGGTAAATATCTGCACCCCTTATAAGACAATTCTTAGGGGGTGTTTGGCTTAGCTTCTTAAAGCCCAAAAGTTTTTTTTTGGAAAAATTACAAAAAGTTAGGATTTCCTAACTTTTCCAAAAAATTGATTTTCCTTGTATAAAAACTCCAAAAGTAGTTTTTTAAAACTAGTTTACCAAACATCTTTTGCTTTTTTTTCTTTTCCAAAAAAAACTTTTGGTTGTAAAAAGCTAAGTCAAACAACCCCTTAGTTGTCATTCCCAATCGGCGTATAATTAGGGATGATTTTAATCCCCTCCTTCACATTTCTATTTGTAATTGACTGTTATATTAGCATTTTTGTAACAAACAAGGGATGACTTCCCTCGATTTTGTCGCCAGGTATAGACCAATGCAACGATATAGACATTGTAGCTATAAGCAATTGCAGTGTCACGTCGTTGCATAGGTGACAAAAGCTTTAAATAATACGTTATTGTACTGTCTTCTCATTCTCAATAATACATGTTCTTCTTAGTAATACATGTCCTGGAAACATCAATGATAAAGCTCACATGGGTCGCATTATTAAAAGTGTACATCAAATGAAAGAGAAAATGATAAATATTAAGACGTAAAAGTTATTAAACTAAAATTTTGAGGTAGTGTGCAATGATCACACTCTTCCAACACCAAACACTCTATTCTTTTTGTTTCAAAACTGATGTATATTTTAAAAAACCAAAATAAAAACAGTTCTGTTTAGCTAGTGAGACAACATTCACACATCTAGAACACCAAATTAAAATTAATTATCAAAAACACAATTTATCCAAAATATATAGTTATTGCAATGGGACAAGCATCATGTGTACGAACATTGTACAACCTGGTAGACAATGGCAAAATGGGGTTGCAAATATTTAAATTAAGGGTTTGCTTTGATGCCCACTTTATGTCAAATGATTATGCACCTTGTTTATAAATAATAATACTTACCATGTCATTAGGTGTAAGATTCCTCCATTAAATCATTAATATGTAATCCCCACTAAACCGTAAACAGCCGCTATAAAAGCCACCTATCCCATTACACCCTTATTTGCCACTCGATCATACAAACTACAAAACCGATCTTTCTCTAATCTCTACAACTACAAATAAACATTTATCATTCATCGAAATGGAAGGTGTGAAGCTAGCCACTTTTCTTGCCATTACAATGATTGTTCTCATGGCGTTCACCAGTTCTGGAACGATGGCTCAGGAGTTTGAGGCAGCACCAGCACCATCTCCATCAATGCAGAGCGCTGGAATTGCATTGCAAGTTCCTGCTTTACTTGCAGCCATCGTGTCTTTGGTGGCTTGCTTCTTCTAAAGCAAGGCTAGATTTTTCTAGCGTCTTTCTTATTTTAATAAACTTAACCTTTGCTATCTTCAAGAGTTCAATGTTTCAAACTTGTATTTCGAGTGTGTAGCTCTTCATTTGCAACCATAATTTCTTTTTAACAATTGCATTTACTATTCTCTACTGATTATTATTATTATTATTATTTTTTTCTGGTCACTACTTAAATTTCCCTCAAATTTATCAATTTCTTGTTATACATTTAAGTAGTAACCAGGAAAAAAACTAACGAATTTACAATAAATATTAGATTAGATAAAACTAATACTTTGCCGTTAAAAAAACAAAAGGATGAAATTATTACTTTTCCGTCCCAATATGGATCAATGCAAAAAAGTAATAATAATACAAAAGATAAAGATGTACATTTTTTTAAGTATGTTTTAGAAAATACAAAAAATGCTGGTGAAATATTATGCATATTAGGTATGGGTAACGCTACAACACCAAATTCATATGCCATCTTAACCGTAAAACCATCATAACACAAAGGGAGGAATGGTGATTTCACATGTTATAACAAATTAAGAGGTAGAGAGAGAAAGAAAGAAAAAGATTTGATTGGTTCGTAGATGCAACAACCAATTAAACTTTCCGTTGCATCTTGTCTGCGTCACAACGAGATGTGTCATAACACCCTTTTAACAAGGAGAGGGGGGGGGGGTGTTCATCTTGTTATGATTAGGTTGTGAGGTGTCACATCAGCAATAATACCACTTCGCATTGTCCATACCGTATGCTCTAACATTCCTAAAAATATGGCCATTTTCATAAAAATAATAAAAATTTGGGTAAAACCTACAAAAAAAAAAGATAAATGTTAGGTTAAAAGTATAAAAGCATAAGATGGAGAGGTTAGGGGTAAGCATGGGCATTAGTGTGAATCTGGATCGTAAGGCAAACACGGTAGGACAAAGCTTTTTATTTTGACTCATGAAAAAATAAAGAGAAAATGACACAAAACCTCGTCTTGAATGTGGAAAGTAAGCACATAATTCAGGAGGTCCGTTAGTTAATGTTAAAAATAGGTTTATAAAATAAAAACTTTTGGTATTGAAATAATAAAAACACTATTCATTGCAAATTATCCTTGGTTTATAATTCATTAATTTGGACACTGTAGTTTTTTTTTAATAAAAACATTAAACAAGTTATAGCAATATACTACATAATTTATTTGTTGTTATAGACATAAATCAACATTGTTATATATATTTTTAATTTTTTAATATTTTTAAAATAAATAACAATTTTTTTTAATAAATAATTTCACATAAATCAAAAAATAATTAAAAATTATATTTATTTAACAAAAAAATTAGGTTAAAATTGATTTATTAATTAGTTACAAAAGGATAAAATTGCAAAAACGGTCCCTGTGGTATGCATTTTTTTGGAGTTTTAGTCCAAACTCTGACTTTTTTTATTCATGGTCATTTTAAGCTAGGTTCATTGTGGATTTGGTCACTCGGTAAACTGAAATGACTTTAATAACCTTGGGTATTTATTTCTATTTCTAAATTCATTTTTTAATTTTTAATAATTATTTATAAATTTTAATAATTAAAAATGAAAGGTCTCTCTCTCTCTCTCTCTCCCTACTAAATAACTACATACCACCACCTAATCTTTGAATCTTTGATTACAAAAGAACCACCAACTATGGTGATCGTGGGGATTTGGTTGCTGTCATCGGAGAACAAAATCCATCGATTATTGTAGCAGCTAGTTCTCTACACAGATTGAGATTTTCAGGAAGGATTTATTCAAACCCAAATTGGGATTTTCAAGAAGATGATAGAGTATTGTTTAGTGCAGATTCATAATGTGGTGACCTAGATTCACAGTGACTAATTTTGCCGTCAAATCTAAGGCAAATGACGAAGAGGGTGATTGCAGACACCATAATCGATGCCCATCATCCCACCCACAACGGTTCTGATTGAACTCCGACCATTGTTATCGTGTGGTCAATTCTGCTTGCTTTGATTTTCTCCCTTTTGTGGGTCTCGGTTTTCCTCGGATTGCACTCGACTTCAACATCAAAGGGAACACGATTGCGATGTTTGATTTAAAATCCAACAATCGGAATCCGGGTTTGTACCATTTTCATTTTCTCTAAAACCTCACCTACAATCTCAAACTGTTGTTCTTCGTATTTTTTCTTTACAAGCCTGAATCGATTTCAAAGGAAGATTAGAGGTAGGTATACAAGGAGATTGATGGTTTGAATTCATCAAAAATGTTGCCGGTGGTGAATTTGTGACTGGTTACGGGTGAGGCTACTGAACAGTAAGATGAATCGATCTTCATGTTCATGTCCTAGGATACATCTATAATCTTTGGTTTTTAGTCTGGAAAATCATGTGTGCATGGACCCAAATTATTTCATATGTGGGTGTATGTAATCTAAGAACTGAAGAAATTCCTTTCATCTACAATCCTCAAAAGCAATGTTTCACGATTTTAATTTCAATGACTTCTGTTACCAACTCATTCAATGCTACCTGAATATTTAATTGATTGAAATCACAAAAACATGTAGTTAAAAAAACTAGAAAATTGAATGAAATTGTGCAAGAAGTGTGTGTATGTGTTTGTGAACCAAAAACTAGTTCTTGATTTGGGTTTCTGCAAGGAGAGAGAAAGAGAGAGAGAGAGAGAGAAAGTGTCCCAGAGAGAGAGAGAGAGAGAGAAAGTGTCCCTCTTTATTTATTAATGATTAAAATAGATAAATATATATTAAATTTAAAAAATGAAAGAAAAATAAAAAATAAATACATGAGGGACATTACAATCATTTTAGTTTACCAAGAGACCAAATACGCATTGAAACTATGCCAAAAAAACCACAAATCGAGGTTTGGACCAAATACGCATTGAAACTATGCCATATTTGAAGTTTTGTCTTAGGGAGGAGGGAGTCGTTCCCATTGAACCCACTGAACCCACTACCACATCAGTTTCTCTTTAATTTTTTTTCATCTTTTTGAACTCACAACACACGGAAATCCTATCTTTCTCAACCCACTTAATTTTAAAAAAAATATATGCAAAATAATCAAGGTAAAATCTTAATTAGCAATAGAGTTACCGCCGGTACCACTCTCTCTTCGGCGGGTTGTTTAATTGGTTTCACGAATCCACTTCATCCTCTTTCTCTCTACTTTCTCTCTCACATTTTCTCTTGTATCATATGTTTTAAGACTTGTACCTTAGTTGTTTACTATTTTTTTTAATTGAGTGGGTTGAAAAAAATAGAATTTCCGTGTGTTGTGAGTTCGGAAAGATGAAAAAAAATCAAAAAGAAAAACTGATGTGGCAGTGGGTTCAGTGGGAACAACTCTTCTTCCCTTACAAAAATTATGTTGGTTGAATCAAGGTTGTCAAGATCGGGATCCTACCTAGGATCGTTTTTGAGTTTGCACGATCGAGATCGAGATCTTAAGATCCCACAAAATGGAATATAATTTTAATTTATAATATTTAATAATGAAAAATATTTCGAACATTTAATTTTTTGTTCAAAAGTTATAAAAACTTCAAAATATTAATCATAAGTCACAATAAAAAATGATAAATGGTAGATTCTTAAAGAGTAAAAGATATAAAGTGGTAAAAAATTCCATTTGAAAAAAAAAAAAAAAAAAAATCAAAGAAAGGTAGGATCGGATCGGATCTCGATCCTACGATCCTTTTACGATCCCGATCGTTTTTCATATGTAGGATCGTAGGATCGTACGATTCTACGATTAGGATCGCGATTTTGATAATGAATTATATATTTATATATATAAGAAATAAAAATTTGGGTGCCGCTAACTCCGTCTCCAATTTGATGGGCATTTGATAAGCTAGCGTGGCCATGAACTCGACGGTTCTGCAACCAACCACCACCGGTCAGTCACCACACCCATCGACCTTCTTTCCGGAGCTCAAACAATGCAAGACGAAGCGGGATTTATTTCAAGTACACGCCAGACTTATCAAAACCGGACGCATCCAGGACCCACTTGCCTCCGCCGAGCTGCTCCGTTTCTACGCCATTTCCGACCCACCTCTCCGAGACCTCCAGTACGCCCGCCGCCTGTTCGATCAAATGAACCAACCCAACTGCTTCTCTTGGAACACCATCATCAGAGCTCTATGCGATAGCAACGACCCATTAGAATCCTTCGTTCTGTTTTCCCAAATGGTCGAAAAAAGCAACGATTTTGCAAAACCCAATAACTTCACCTTTCCGTCTGTGCTTAAAGCGTGTGCAAAAACGGGTAAGCTCGAAGAAGGTAAGCAAACTCATTGTCTTGTAGTAAAGCACGGATTACTGAATGATGGGTTTGTGTTAAGCAATTTGGTTCGAATGTACGCCATGTGTGGTACCATGAACGACGCTCATCTTCTTTTTGATTCTTTCAAAACGAACTCGGAAATGGGTGAAATTGTTTTATGGAACGTAATAATCGACGGCTATATAAGACTTGGCGAACTCAAAACTGCACGAAACCTGTTCGATAAAATGCCGCAAAGAACTGTAATGTCTTGGAACTCCATGATTTCTGGGTACGCACAAAATGGGTTTTTCATGGAATCTTTAGAACTATTTAGACAAATGCAAATGGAAGATGATACCACAATACCAAACTACATCACTTTGATCAGTGTACTTCCAGCAATTTCAAGACTCGGTGCACTTGAAATCGGGAAATGGGTACATTTCTACGCAGTTAAGAACAACATAAACATCGACCCAATCCTTGGTTCTGCACTAATTGACATGTATTCAAAATGTGGAAGCATCGATGAAGCGCTTCAACTCTTTAATTCTCTAACACAAAAGAACGTAATCACATGGAACTCAATAATCACCGGGCTCGCTATCCATGGTCGAGCCAACGAAGCTCTTAATCACTTCAAGAAAATGCAAGAAAACGGGGTTTCACCAAGCGATGTAACTTATATTGCGGTCTTAA